GCTGGTGTCATATCTTTGCAGTACTGGAAGTGCCTTGAGACAATTCTGTATTGTGAAGCTGAATGTCCTATTCCCACAACAGGACACAGCAACACTCTTCCCTTAGGAGAGATAATCAACCACAGGCCTTTTTGCCCATCTGTGTTCTTGTACAAGTGTTGCCTAGAGCAAGGGCTGGGTGGCTGTAGGATGTGAGCTGACGCATGGAACCTCCTGAGCAATTTTCAAAGTGAATATTAAAAGCGTAAGCCAAAGATTTATTAAAAAATGTAAATGAACCTGGTAAGTAATGGTCTCCCCTTCCCCCCCCCCCCCGCCAGATCAGTGTAATATTCACATTACTTACGATACTGCTAGATTTTAAACTAGAGCTTCCCTTTCTGGAGGAGGAGTAGCAATCTTTCAGTCACAGTAGTGGGGGAAAACTTAAAGGTAGGCTTAAGATGGCAGCTCTGCTCTCAGAGCATCTCTTTTTGCATTTTGTCTTCCATTTACCTCTCCTTTTGATGCTGAAGCTTTTTGAGCTGGGACATATGTCAGTTACTGTTTTATTAATGTGCTTTCTAGCTTTGAAGTGCCTAAAAACTAAATCATGGGCTGAGCTGGGCCCTGTACAAGCTGTTACACTGGGATATAATCCTTGCCTCAGAAAATGTAAAGTCTGAGTTGGAAAAGGTGTAAGACAGAGATGAGGATGGGAGACGGAATATTATGTTAATGATGCAAGCAGCTAATATTTAACGTAACCACAACCATCTCGGGTTGCCTCTTGCTTATTAAATATCAATGATAATGATTTGTTGAATTAAAAGATCATTGAAAAGTCAGAGCAAATCTTCATCTCTGCATAGGTTAGCAGAGGTAGAGCTTGAAGTAGGGAGGGCTTTAAAATATTATGAGGATTTTCTTTGTTTAGGCAACTCCCAAACAGAAGATATTTAGAATCCATTCTCTTTTAAAAAGTTTGTCATTTGACTCTCCCATGTGGCATTCTTGGCTTTATGAAAAAATAATTAGTACATGATATGGGAATGCTTCTTCCATTTTGACAGTCAACATTTACTAAAGATGTAATGGGCGAGACTTTGTTGTCATTGTTTTTGAGCATGTCTTCTTGTTGTTAACCTCCATCTTGAGAAAGAGCAGCTGAGAACCCAAGTGGAACAAAGTGGCAGTATGGGAGTTCCTTGTGTGAATGCCTTGCCAGTAGCTGTTCTGCGTATGTAAATAGCACTCCTCACTATGTCAGTGGCAGATTGGCTTCTGTCTCTCTCCCAGTCCTACTAGCTGCCAAATTGCTAAGTGGAATGGTGAAGGTTACAAAACTGACACCCCTAAGCTCCCACTGGAGACTGGCAGTAAGCTTGTACCCATGCTGCGGCTTGTGCACTGTGATCGTGAAGTGAAAATACCTTCTGCAGAGGGGTATAAAACTCAGGTCATTTAGCCTGCATACGTTCAAGGTGTAGGGGGACGAAGAAGGTGTTGCAGCAGCCCAGTTGCAAGAAACAGCCATGGGGAGCTGTGGCAAGGTCTCCATTAGTCACTGGCAGGAGTGGGCTGCTTAGCTTTAGGCAGCTGCTTTAGGCACTTCTGCTGTACTGCTACAGGCTTTAGTCTGTCTGCTTGCTCTGCAGAAAAGCAGGGTCTTCCAGACCTTTAAAGGCATGTGTCTTTCTCCTGAATATGTAAAGGCTTAGGGGTATCACCATAGCTGAAAGGACTAGCAAAAGTTAGGAGGGTATTCACTCTTCCTGTGGGACACAGATGTTAGAAATCGATCCCTACTGTAGTTTCAGTAGTTTGGCAGATCAGATAGTCCAGGACCTAACAATTCTCTGTTCCAAGTTCCTACTGCAAGAGGTAGACAAAGCCTTAGATAAGACTGTTGGTGTCCCAACATCCCTGTTTCCTCCAGCCTAGGCACTTCTCTTCTCCAGCTCTATTTACACCCCACTTGCGCAGGACAGGCATGTGGCCAGGGTGGGTGTCTTGTTGGCTGTGTTGTACCTGCATTCCCCGGCCTGGATGGTGTGCTCGGCAAGAGTGCCCCTTAGCACCTGCAGCAACAGTCACTACCTTCCCACCATTGCTCCAAACCAGCCCTTTTTTTCCCCCTTTAAGGCAGGCATGCAGCAACTAGAGCACTGCAGTCAGAAACAAATGGGGAAAAGCTCTCAAGGGTACCAAATGCTGCAGAAATGTTTACAAGATTAGTGTGGACACAGTATGTTCTTTGACTACAAAGTGTAACAGTCCGCTGTGGTTTTACTCTGTGCTTTAGATATATAAGCTGACTTGTTCGAAAATATGCAGAGACTCCAACCTTCAGTTTTACAACCTCACATTATTTTCCTTATACTGAGATGGGCTACTAACTGAGAGTTACTTAGGGCTGCTTTTGTCAAGACTTCTGTATCTCAGCATGACCTTGCACAGCTCTTCAAGGCTCACTGGCACCTCGCCTCTGAGGAGGAAGTGCTGATGATGCAATCCGTGATGGATCTGGCGTTTCCCGTCTGTCTATATCCTGTCAGGTAGGGTAATGGTCCAGTTTACAGGTTATAGCAGAAATCTGTGCCAGCACCTCTAACTTTTGCAAGTGAGACTGGAGCACAAGCAGAGGAGATGCAGTGTTTATCTCTTGAGAGTACTCTTCTGTTTCCATGGCAGTAGACAGCTCAGTCCAGATTTGGGCAATCTTGTCTGCAAAGTAGCATGAAAAAAATTAGGAGAGAAAAAACTTGACTGCAGCTGAATGGAGGCAGTCAAAATTAAAAAAGCTTGCATACGTTGGGTCTACTATATGACACTGCAGACACTATGGAGAAACCTCTTTGCTTCTTGTGTAGCTAAGATCTGATTTAAGGTCTGTCTGCCTCTGTCAGTGAGACTCTGTGGGGGACTTTTGCCCCTTGCATTTGAGGAGTTTTCCTTCGGATAGGTAAACTATAACTACTCACAGTGGTAAGACAAAACTATTGCAAAGCAGAATTATTAAACTTTGAATCAATAGTAGAGAATGAGCTGTTGTTACAAAATCTCTTCTATACACTGAGAGAGTAATCAATTATATGGCTGTTGCTTCAGGGATGCCTTGAAGAACATCAGTGCAAATATCTGCAGAAGATAACCTGTTAAAGCAATCTCTTGTCTTCTTGGGGTATGTGTATTATGGCCTCTTACAAAAAAAAGTAATTAAAACAATGGAGTTTTAGTCACAGAAAGGAAGAAAATGATAGATGAGGTAGGTTTCCAGTTAAACTCTGGTGGAATGCAGAAACTAGGTGGAACAATGCCAGTCATCTGGAAACCCTTGCAGTCCTTTTAGAGTGTTTTCATTGATTTTGATGCCATGTGAGAGAGGGTTTGCTGACTTTCTTAAATAAATCACTACCATATGTGGGCTACGTATCGTATTTGAACTGATTTTAGGGGAAGATCAGTAAAAGCTAGCATTAAGAGAAACATAAAACTGCTTCCAGAACATTTTAGTAGGTGGACCTGTTCTTTTCAAAACACAGGCTAGCTGTTCAATAACAGTTTGAATATCTATTGAGGTAGTATAGAGGGTGTGCTAGATGATAGATACTGCAATTTACCAAAATAAAAATGTAAAGGTCTCTCCTGCCCCTAGAATCAAACTGTGTCCAACTCAGTTTGATTGCTTCAGAGACTTAGAAGTGAAAGCTTCAAGTTTCTTTGTGAAGTTGTTTAGTGGTACTTGTGCAGTGCCCCTGCAAACTGGCTGTTTCTTAATGCAATCTTTGCCAGTTAGATTAAAATGACAGATGTTTCAGAGAAAACTGCATCATAGATCTGGAAAGTTTTGTTTTTGTTGTGTTTTGTGGTTTTTGTTTTTTTTTTGTCTGTGTTTTTTTTCTTTCTTTTCTGAAGAGACTGCTAAAAGAGATAATCAGGCACTTCTGTTTAGACAGATTTCTTTCTTTCAGGGCATGCTTTTCTATACTGGAGATAGCTATTTGTCCTGCATCTTCCAGGTGATTGTTGATTATTTATTTTATGGGAGTGTTTAAGACTTGCAGCAAGATGAAGCCCTCTTTATGCTGACACAAGTTTTTGTTACTGATATGTTACCTGAACATTTCAGCCTAAACAAATGTTATAGATAAAGAATAGAAGGAAATGTTTGGGATAGCATTTCCCAAAATTTTCATGAGGCTTGTGTTCCTGTGCCAGGAAGGAGAAGCAAGGTCAGTGGAGACTAGGTCATCTCTGCTGGCTTAGATAACCATGCTGTAAGAGAAGATACGCGACTTGGGCATTTCCCTATTTTTCCATCTCTAGGCGCTTTCTGATTACAAATGGAAAGATTTACCCTTTTTGAATGATGGGAGCTTGTACCCAAGAACTGTAACTAGTTTAGAGGTACTGCATTCATTTCCCTGTCCCTTGGGACTCAGTATGATTGACTAGGTCATTCCAAGACCTTTTTTTTTTCACAGTCTCTGTCAGTATGTAGAGCACCTGAAAGCAGCTCAGTATCTGCATTCTTCTTGAACTAAAGTTTGAACACCTGTTGGGGAGCTGAGCACTGTTCTCACTGTTTAGTCTTCTTTACAAAGCCACTACCTTGCTGGTGTGTGGCAGTCCCTCAGAAGTGGCATCATGTGCCGGCTGCAAGTTATGAATGGGAAAGACCCTCTACTGAACTTTGACTGGAATTGAAGCAAATATTCAGGATAGATAAAAAATTCATTCCAACTATTTCAACATTGGGCACTAAAAAATGTAAGTATGGACAGAGCCTGAGGCAATACCTTCTTTTATAAACAGCATGTAATATCCTGTACCTCTTGAGAAAAGGTGATATGAATCAGCACTGACAAAGCTACTTGAATTACAACAGAAACAGGTGAGTAATCCTTTCCACCATCTTGCATTGCTAATACCTCTGGTGTTAGTAATTGCAGGGAGCCAAAGAGCACCCCTGGGTCATGAATAAAAAAGGCAGTGTCTAGGAGAAGGTTCTGGAAGGGAAAAGGCCTATGGGATCCACTCCTGATTTAGAGGAACAGTGGATCAAAAGCTGAAGGTGACAATTCCTAAGGGATTGCCTCCTGTGAAAGTGGGTACTTTGGGTCTGGGAGTTTGAGGCTGGTTGAAGGAGATGATTGGTCAGAACAGTTCCACTTGCATTATATGTGTGTCCTTGTAGCACTGCGGGCAAAACAGCCTGACTGGAGTTCTGGAGGACAGTTGGCTGGAAATGGATGGGACTGGCGCTGGACAGCTCACAGCCACCTTCTGGCAGGCCCACTGCCCAAACATTGCCATTTGCACCCAATGTGCTTAGTCAGTATGACTGCATTTGAAGGAATCGGAGCAATCCCAGGCACAGCTACAGGTTGGGCAGAGAAGAGATTCAGAGCAGCCCTGCGGAGAAGGACTTGGGGTTGTTGGTTGATGAGAAAATGAACATGAGCCGGCTTCAGTGTGCACTCAGCCCAGAAAGCCAACCGTATCCTGGGCTGCATCAAAAGAAGCATGACCAGCAGGTCGAAGGGGGCGATCCTGCCCCTTTACTCTGCTCTTGTGAGACCTCACCTGGAGTATTGTGTGCAGTTCTGGTGTCCTCAACATAAAAAGGACATGGAACTGTTGGAACAAGTCCAGAGAAGGGCCACGAGGATGATCAGGGGACTGGAGCACCTCCCGTATGAAGACAGGCTGAGAAAGTTGGGGCTGTTCAACCTGGAGAAGAGAAGGCTGAGTGGAGACCTCATAGCAGCCTTCCAGTATCTGAAGGGGGCCTATAGGGATGCTGGAGAGGGACTCTTCATTAGAGACTGTAGTGACAGGACAAGGGGTAACGGGTTAAAACTTCAACAGGGGAAGTTTGGATTGGATATAAGAAAGAAGTTCTTTACTGTGAGGGTGGTGAGGCACTGGAATGGGTTGCCCAGGGAGGTTGTGAATGCTCCATCCCTGGCAGTGTTCAAGACCAGGTTGGACAAAGCCTTGGGTGACATGGTTTAGTGTGAGGTGTCCCTGCCCATGGTAGGGGGGTTGGAACTTGATGATCTTAAGGTCCTTTCTAACCCTAACTATTCTATGATTCTATGAATGTGTTTTGCCACAGAGGCAATGCTAAGCAGGTTGCTGAACATCCACGTGCCAATGCTAAGGTGAGCTTTGGAAAACGTGGAAAGGTGGAAGGAGTTTGGAAGAGGAGCAGAAAAGAGATGGGGAAGACATCTGTGGAGTGAGCTAGGATATGGAAGAGGACAGGCTTGAGTTTCTCTGTGGGATGGAGGGTCTGAGGGACACCCTGGGGAAGGAGCCCCAGATCAACCTCAGCCCTAAATGTGTATTGGCAGATTCTTTGCTGGAACTGTCTGGACCCAAAAAGATACAAGAAGTGGAGCAGCTTGTGGTATCAGAAGCTTGTGCAGAGCGATGTTGCTTTGAAGTCTTTTGAGCACCTGTGGGAGGAGTAGAGAACTGAAAAGATGATGAGAACACAAGAGATTGGTGTGCTCCAGGGTCTCAACTTAGGACTTTGAGGGAAAGTGCAACTGTTTGGTTCAGAGCTGAAACAGGATCTGTGTGCAACACGGGGCTGCGGCTGGAGGTAACACAAGTTAAAACATGCCAGCCCCGGCCCTGTGGCAATGTCTCTTCACACTCCCCAACACCCCTTTCTTTTGAAAAGAAAAACCTGAAGCCTATTATCACGGATATATGTATGCACTGTTCCCTTTAACATCCCCTGCCCACCACCAGGGAAGGCGATGACTTAACCATGTAGCATGGGTTATGCTGTGGATTACTAATTAGACAATACAATTAGCACTCACTTGTTTTTTTTCTACTGTGTCATGTCTCAGGAGCCCCCAGTCTTGGCTTCCCTAGGCTGTTTTTTTCCTTTGATAAATATAACACACAAGGAACTTTGCCAGTTTTCATTTTTCAATGACAAATACCATGTTCCCTGGAATTTCACAAAGAATTGAAGATCTGGGGTGGGGGAAAGCAGGTGAAGCACCCTTGTGTGTAGGCAGTGCCTCATATAAGGTACTCCAGCCTAAAGATGCAATCAAGCTTTGGAATTTAGAAATAAGGACAACTTTCTGCTGGCTTTATTTCCAGCCTCATCCAATTTAACTACACCATGGCTCCTTACAATTGCATTTCACAGGCATTTACTTAACCTATTAATTCCTTTTTTTTTTTCAGTTTCAGAGTAGGATTCTGACTTATCATCAGTACACTTCAGTATAATGTGGCTGTCATGTTCTGCAAGATCTGTAATGAATTGCTACATGTAATTGTAAATAGTGGAGATGGTTATAAATAATATGGGAGAACAGAAAAATATATCAAAGAAATAAGTAGAAGATTAATAAAATGTTAATGCCAGTGGGTATTTAAAATATATAGTTCATTTACTTAATCATCAACTAAATTGATATAAATTGATGGCTTTAGCTGTTGCATTGTCTTCTATTATAATTTTAAATTATAAAATTGTTTGGGTTTTTTTGTCTGTTTTCCAATTAAAATATTGTATGAAAACTATGACATGGTGAGGTGCGCTAAAAAAGCTTCACTACAGTTGCACTAGAAAAGCTGCACTACAACAGTGAGAGGCAGAAGGTGGCTTCTGCCTTTCACATCCTCTCCAGGAAGGCAGTTGGTAGCTGGGTAAGGAAACCCCTAGTCAACAGGGACAGAGCTCCTCCAGAAGGTGATTCAGAGCATGACTGTAACTGAGGCATGCTGCATTTGCGCTCAGACTTTTCTTTTCCACAAGTCCTTTCTTCCATTTGCTCTTTTATTGTTAGGCAGCTGGTAACCCAATGGCTTTGCGTTGCAGTACTCAAGCTTGGAGGAAGAATGATGGCTGCTAGAAAAACGTTCATTTGGCTTGGGTTTCTGATAGCGGTCTTCACATCTAATTTTATTGCTTTGTCGGCTAAAACAGTAACATAGGACTTTTCCTTTTCAGCAGGGAAAACTGATTGTGCATTGCTCAGTGTCACCCAGTTCCTGTAAGAAAGTTCCAAATCCTGAGCAACAGAAATGTTTTTACTTACCTTTTACATGAGTATGTTTGAGAGTATGTGGAAACAGATCTGTTTGTTTGTTTTCCAGTTGCAGATGCATTTCACGGTAAGACTCACTCAGGAGGCACATTTCTCCCTCTTACATATGTTTCATACTTCCACTTTTATTGGAAGTACTGAGCAGTGCAAAAATTCAGGTCAGTCTCTTGGGGGGAGGAATTAATTCATAAATGTTACTACAGTTGCCTATATAGAATATTGTCATTCAAGAAAATGTCAGTCTGGAAAGTTAATGTCTAATGTAATTTCAACCTTTATTGAGAAGTCTGCCACATGCTGAAAATACAAGGAAGAGTGACACACAGAAATTAATAGCATTATATTTAGTAACAGACATACTGTAGAATATGGACAGTTTGACGTGACTGAAGGGTTATTATATTCTGGTAGAGACCATTGCTTTTCTTACCAATTGGGAACATTATTTCTTTCCCATGCAGTTAAAAACCCCTGTGTGTTTAAGAGGTCTAAAGTGTAAATATTACTCATAATACATGCTTTTTTCATGGCATCAGCATTATGTGGGGGGTGACTGTAAGGTTTTTGTTTATGAGATGTCATCCTTGTTAGTCTTGGGTTTCTTAGGTTGTTGGGTGGCTTGTGGAGTATTTTTTGGGGGTGATGGGTTCTCTAGCGTTTTGTGGTTGGTTTTGTTATCGTTTTGGTTTGGTGGTTTTGTATGTCTGTTTGTGGTAACTCTTTTTTGTGAAGGGGGGTGCTTGTTTTCTAACGAGCGCAGGTGTGGGACTTGAGCAGACAGTGACAGTTCAGAAGGAAGTCCTGCTATTCTGTGATGATGCAGTTTGTCTAGAGTTTTGGCAGCTACTGCCACCCCATGGTTTCCCACAAGGGACGAATGCTGCAGAGCTTTTAAATGTTGCGTTTCTCCAGAAACCTCTCACAGGTCAGAGAGAAGACAACAAACACTCATTTTTGTCTTACCCCCTTCTTCCCTATGTCCCCTTTTCAGTAAAAGCCCCTCCGCAAATAAAAGCAAGTATGGCATGAGCAGCATTGCTTTGGTTTAGCACGGATGAGTCCCTTCCACTGGATTTACAACTGTGTAATTGAATATTAATTTTGGCTCCCGGGAGTTTTCACTGATTATATCTGCATTGGCAGGAAGTATTTTGCATTCTTCATTTATTTATTTATTTTTTTTTCCAGGAACTTCAAAACACATATCTGGAGAAAGCTTTTGAAACCCATTTCTTACAGTTGCTGCTGCTTTGGGAGTTTTTGTTTACATCATGGATGCCACATACAGACAGATCTGGGTTAAAGCAAGCTGGTCTGAGCGGTGTCCTCTGAGTGTTGCTTCCAGCAGAGCTTTGCCCTCCAGTGCCTCAGCAGGTACTCAGTTGAAGGTTCTGACATGGAAGGGGGACATTTCAGGTATTGTTACTCCACACATTCATGCCAGGGAATACCCTTGGTGTGGAGGAAGAGTTTGCTTTTTAAGAAGAGGCAAGAGAGACCTCATTTTTGCGTATCTTCTTGCTGGAGTTGGAAGCTTCTTTCCCTTGGACCAACCCAGCTGAAACCAGGCATCAGTAAGATAGGCTGTAGAAAGTAAGTCAGTTGGCTTGGAGGCAGAGGCTTTGGCACAGGCATTGGGCTCCCTTCTTGGGGACTCTTACTGGGGACTCTCCAACTTCCATCTCCCCCGTTGCTCTCCACCACCAAGCTACGAAGTGCACCGAGCACGAAGCGCACCCACTGTGCTGTACTGTTTTTCCCACCCGACACAAAAGTTGGATCCCTCCTCCTTGAGCTCTCCCGATCCCCGGTTTGCTCCGGGGGCTCCTCCTGGGAGCCGGGATGCTCTTGGCCGCCGCAGGTACTGCACGCACCGACCAGCCGTGAGAAAGACCTTCTCCGAGAGGCTGAGCAGCTCCTCTCCGCAGTCACCTGTAGCTGGGCGCTGTTTTTTTACCTGCTACTCTAAGCCCAGAACCCTTCGCGAGGGTTTTCCTGAAGTGAACCGAACCTCCACGTAGCACAGCAGAGGTGGTGCTCCTTTTCCCGGAGAGATGCGGCTCTTATTTTTGCTGTCGCCTCCCTCCACCCCTCGGGACTGGAATCAGGGGGCTGGAGGGATATGGAGGGAGGGCTGCCCCCGCCCCGGGGAGGAGCTTCAGCCCCAAATAAGGTGCCTTTGCACGTTTGGGCTTCTCTTCCCAAAGGAGCACTGAGGTTACGACAGCACCGGTCCTCGAGGTGCCCTCTGCCCGCCGCCCATGGCTCTGCTTTCGGCCGGCGGTGCTCGCTCGTAGCCCCGATGGGGAAAGGCTGCGTCCCTCTCCTAAAACGAAGCGAGCGGCATCTCCGAGCGGGCGGCGGGAGCCGCTGTTACGCCTTTCGGAGTTGAGCATGGAGGAAGGTGAAGCAGCCACCTGAACGAGGAAAAAACCCAAACAAACCTAACAAAGCCCAACAACAAGTAGCTCTCGCCTGGCGGGGAGGCAGGGAGAGCGGCCGGGAAGCGCCGTCCGCCGCCAGCCACCACCGGAGCCCGACCGAGAAGGGGATCCGCGTTTTCTGCTCCGGCCAAGGTAACTGTGGGGCTGGCGGGGGGAAGCGTGGAGAAGCCCCCGGCGGCGCGGCGCTTGCTCCGCCGGCTCTTCCCCGCCATCCACTCTCGTCTTCGTGATTTGTCTGAGAAAGTGGGAGCCGAGCTCCGTACAGGCAGCCTTTCCAAGGGTGTGCCGGCTGCCGGGCTTACTGGGGAGGGGGGTGTGTGTTTTGGTATTTCCTCCCGAAAAGCAATCCCTCTCTCCAAAAATGGGGGGTGGGAGGGAAGGCGAGCCTCTAATCCGTCTTTTTTTTTTTTTTTCCCTGGTTAGGCTGTTATGATAATAAAAGATAGATGCCCCTTAAATAATTAACCGCACACTTTCTATTCCATCAGCTCGGTTCTCGCAGCCCCGCGAGGGAGGAGGGGGTGGGGAGAAGCGGCATTGCCATTCCGGCAGCCGCTTTCAGGGGAGGCGAGGGCAGAGTCCCGGAGCCTTGCCCGGGGCAGGCAGGCGGCAGAGAGCCCTCCGCGGGAGGAGCGTGCTGAGCTGCCCGGCGGCGGGCCGGGCTCTCCCGGAGGTGCGGAGTGGCGGGGGATCAGGGGAATGGAGCGGGCTGGGGTAGGCGGTGACGGCGGGGAATAGCTTTCCCCACCCCCCCACCTCCTCCTGGTGATGCTTGGGGGGGGGGGAGGGGGGGGGCTTCTCCTCGATTTCTTCTGTTTGCGTTTAAGGCAGCAGCTCGTCCGCCGCGGACCTGCCGGCGACCCCATCCCCGCCGCCGCCTCCCGCGCCCTCCCCAGTCATGTCCGACCCGGAGCGATGGGGAAGCTCGAGGACAACGAGAGGGTGATCCTCAACGTGGGGGGCACGCGGCACGAGACCTACCGCAGCACCCTGAAGACCCTGCCGGGGACCCGCCTGGCCCTGCTCGCCTGCGAGTCCCAGAGCGAGTCCCCGGGCGGCGAAGAGCCACCGCCGCCCTCCAACCCCAACCCGCCGGCGCCGGCCGGAGGCTGCCCGGAGCCCGGCACCGGCTGCAGCCCCCGGGGCGGCGGCGGCGCCAGCGAGTTCTTCTTTGACCGGCACCCGGGGGTCTTCGCCTATGTGCTCAACTACTACCGCACCGGCAAGCTGCACTGCCCCGCCGACGTCTGTGGGCCGCTTTTCGAGGAGGAGCTGGCCTTCTGGGGCATCGACGAGACCGACGTGGAGCCCTGCTGCTGGATGACCTACCGCCAGCACCGAGACGCCGAGGAGGCTCTCGACATCTTCGAGGCGCCTGACCTCCTAACGGGAGAGCCGCCCGCGGACGGCGACGACGACGACCTGGCCGCCAAGAGGCTGGGCATCGAGGACGTGGGGGCCGCCGGAGAGGGGAAGGGAGGGCGCTGGCGGCGGCTGCAGCCCCGCGTCTGGGCACTCTTCGAGGACCCCTACTCCTCACGGGCTGCCAGGGTAAGCGCTGCTGGACGGCGCTCCTGTCGGGGTGGCTGGGGAGGCCGAGGGGTGCCGGGGGCCCCATATAGGAGGCAGCCATGTAGGTGCGTCGTGGGGAGGTATGCCCCCATGGGGCAGAGGTGATGCTTTGGTGGGCTGCTGCACGGGGATGGTGTCAGCCCCCAGGGGGGAGTGGTACTTGTCCCCTCTGCATCTGCAGGCAATTTCAGACAGGGAGGGGGTGATCCTGCTGGGCCAGTGTCCCCCCTGGAGCTATGCCCCAGGGAGCTTGTGGTGGAGCTGTACTTGCCCCCTTGGCTTGAGTGGGGGTCTGGAGGTGTGTGCGCTGGGGGACCTGTTCGTGTGTGGGTATGAGCACACAAGGTGCCCTTGTCCTTGCTGAGCACCTGCATGGAGGCGCATTTGGGGACAGGGGAGGCCGTCATCCCTCTCCCAGCTGTCAGAGGTCTCAGGTTTGGGGTGAAGTGGTTACAGTGATGCGGGAGAGCAAGAGCAACCTCAGCCCTTGCCCAGCTTCGCTCTGTCTGCGCTGGGAGGTGATCGGAGTTCAACAAAGTAAGTGTGACAGGGGGTCACCCTGGCTCTTCCTCCATTGATTTCTCAGGGTGACCCTGCCTGCCTCTGTGACTGAGGACATGGGTACACAGCAGTGAATGAGTGTACCAAGTTTCCAGTATACAGATAGGGATTTTAGATCTTGGTGCTGACTACTTTCTCATTTGATGATTTGGATTTTAGTTCTGTTTCTTAGTTGCTGTTGTCAGTGGCGATGGGAGTTTGCTTTCTAAGCCCAGGCTTTGGAGCAAACAGTTGTAATTCCTTTGAGAGAAACAGTGGTGCCTCAGATTTAACAACTAGAGAAGCCATCACCAGCAAGTCCTTCCTGCAATACAAGGAAAAGAACTTGTTACTGAAAATGTTGATTATAAAGTGGTAAGAAGTGTTTTGTAGCATATTTGTCAGGATTCCCATGAAGCGTTCAGAGGTGAGCCTCATCCTGCAGAAAGTGCAGTTGTGGTGGATGTTGTCTCCTGGTCAGTGCTGCTGATTTCACTGGCAGTCTCGCAGATGTAGCTGTATGCGTGTGGTTTTAAGTGACTTCCTGGGTTGTGCCCTACACCCTGCTGCAGTTTATGTGAAAGTTAGTACCTCCTATGCGCTTAGTGAAGTTAAACAGAAAGTAAAAGTCCTTGTAGTTACCACTGTCACTTGCTGAATGCCAGTGTTATGTTTTTGAAGGTTGCCCCCAGTGTGTTTTCCCTTGACAGATGTCTCCAGCTGATACTTGAAATATATTTTTGATAAAGGAAAAAGACTACCATGAGTCTCTAACTTTGCTCATCAATGACATACCCACATTGCTTGCATCTTCACTGCCTGAATCCTAAGGAAAATGTGGCTGTCAGTTACCTGACAAAACAGTACTTGTGTGCGGTGATTGCCCTGCAGGTTGTCTTTCACCTCCTGTTTTGTGACAGTGTCAGATGTGCAGCTTTTATGATAGGAACTCTTTCCACTTAACTTTGGAGAACTGAGGATTATGTTAAGTGGGAGTTACTAGGAGAAAGAGGAAGGCAGGCGTGCTGACTGCAGTTGCACCCTGGAGTTGTAGATGTCACTTGGGTTTTCAGTCCACTTCAGTCCACTCTTTGACAGAACTGCTTTGCTTTCCAAATTCTCCATCTGTGTTAGACCATCCTGGACTGTCAGTGGCTCAGGTAAAGTTAGTTTGAGTTTGCAAAATGAATGCCGTAATTAACACTATAATAGAAAATTGCAGCACAACAGTAATATTAATCCCTTAGAAGGTAAGGCATTCACCTTTTTAGAACTTAAAACCTGGTTTTAAACATCTATTCTGATTTCAACCCCAGGCAGCCAGAGTAAGGCAGTGTCAGAGCAGTAACAACAGTGTCTAAATCAGTGTTCTCATTTTCTTCAAGGCCTGCTACCTTGTACTTGATGTTTCAGGTAGGGAGACAGCTTTGAGAATTGCTGACAAGTCTTAAAGCATTAAAGTAAATTTGTGTTTAAGGACTAGCATGCACTTAGTAATCACTCTTGAGCACTGTAAGGTGATAGTAACATTACTTGAAACTGAGACGTTACTGCCAGTTCAACGTTTCCCACACTTGAAACAGAGATGTTATTTTCTGAGTATTCTGGCAAATACACTTTTGTTTTGTGTCAGCTGAAATGATGACTAACTCTAAAAACATCTGAGTGAAATCCTGGCTGTACTGAAATCCAGACAGAACTCTGTGAGCATCAGTCTTTGCCTCGTAGTGTTAGCTACTGACTCATACTCCACTTAGGTTGCCGTGAGGCTGCGTATTGGTAAACTTTCTTAATAACTG